CCCCTGGGATATTTTGTGAGGAGGGATGTGATGGGGATGAGGCAGACCTGGGTCTCTAAGGACATGGCCATCAGCAAGATGCCCCAGCTTGCCTGGTGGGGAGAGCAGGAAGCTTGGGCTTGAGCTATTAGCAGCTCCTTGATGCACAGTCTGGGGGCCCAGAGCACTTGTGGCTAGGGATTGGGGGGCTGTTGGCACTCTCCTGGGGCAGGGGACCCTGCCCTTTACCTTGTTAGCATCCCCTCCCAGCCTCCCTGACACTTGCTGATGTCCCCCGCCCACCTACCCTGGGAGCCAGGCCTATGCTGGGTGACCCCTGGGACACACCAGCTTGTCAGCTGTGGACCCTATCTTGGAAGCTCACAGTCCAGTGGGAAACAACCTGGTGAGGACAGAGGTACCAGCTCAGATTTGGGGGGCCCAGGGAGAGGCAAACCCCATCTGGGGGCACCCTGGTAGTTCCGTGGAGGAGGAGCCTATGAACTGAGTCCCCCAAATGAGGAGAAACTTGATGGGGTAGGTGGGGGTGGTGGGTGTTACAGGCTAAATCCAGTCCCTCCAGGATTCATTTGTTGAAGCTTTAATCCCTGTGCCTTGGAACATGGCTGTGTCTGGAGATGGGGCCTTTAAAGAGGTGATTGAGGTATAATAGTCCATGAGGGTGGACCCTGGTTCAATAGGACTGGTGTCCTTGTGAGAAAAGGAAGAGACACTGGGGTCCCAGAGATGCCCAGAAGAAAGGCACATGAGCCCAGCGAGACGCCAGCTGTTGGCCAGCCAAAGAGGGGGCCTAGGAGGAGTCAGCCCACCATCACCTCCATCTGGGCCTCCAGGCCCCAGAACTGTGAGAAATTAACTTGTGCTGTTTAAGTGCCCAGGCTGTGCTGTTTGTCATGGCGCTCTGAGCTAAAATGAGTGGGAATGGCATTTAGGGAGAAGGCATGACCCAGGTGTAGGGAGGTGGGAGAACCCGACTGAGCCCAGGGTGGGCAGAACAGTGTCAGCACAGGAGCCCCAGAGGTCAGAGGTCAGGTTGCGTCCATTCCTGTGCCCCCAGCGCTCCTGTATGCCTGTTAGTGTGGCCGGGTCCCAGCAGGACAGAGTTGGTAGAATTCCAAAAATGCTCCAGGATTCTCATCCCTGGTGCCTCTGCCCTGAAGGGATTTTGCATGTGTGAGTCGAGCCCCAAGCCAGTTGATCTTAGATAAAGAGGTTATCTGGTGGGCCTGACACAGTCATGTGAGCCCTCTGTAAGTGGAAAGTTCTTTTCAGCTGGTGGCAGAATTGGAAGTCAGAGATTGGAGGCATGAGGGCACTTGACCCCATCACTGACCCAAAGAGGGAAGGACCACACCCCAGGCACTGGCGTCCCAAGTTGCTGAGAGGGGCCCTGGCTGACACTGGGGACCTCAGTCCTAGAACTTGGGGAGCTGAACAGTTTCCATCTGAATGAGCCTGGAGTTTTCTTCAGTTTCCTAATGGGGACTCAGCCTGACATCAGCCTTATGATGCCCTGAGCAGAGGACCCAGCCTCCCCATGTGTTAGCTATAGAACCTTGAGCTAATAAAGGGGTGTGCTGAAGCCGCTGCATTTGGTATTTTCCTGCAAGCAACAGAACACTAGCAGAATGGAGAGGGGGCAGGTGAGGCAGGTGGGAGGCCATGCCCGCCTCTTGCAGCAGTCTGCCCGTCAGCGCAGAGTATGGCTGAGCTTCCTGTACCAAGTGGCTGGCCAGGAGTTCCTAGGCAGCCATGCTCAGTACCCCTGGGCCACCCCTGGGAGCCTCAGAGAAACTCAGAATCAAGGAGCAGGAAGGGATGCCTTTCATTCCCCACTTCATCTTGAGGAAACTGAGGCTGTGGGAGAGTAAAAAGGGCTGGTCCCAGAAAGTGGTCCTCGGGAACCCCAGCCCCACAACTTCCCAGCTAAGAACCCTGGGCAATTGGTGCTGGCTTTCTGGGCCTCAGTTGCCCTGGCTGTACAATGGGGATGGATGCTTGGACATAAGCAGATGAGGAAAGGTATTCTGGGCAGAGGGAAGAGAGTGGGCAAAGGCACAGAGGTATGGGTGGTGTGCCTTGTTGGGTGGGCAGGCAGCAGTGGCAGGCTGGGCCGAGTTATGAAGGCCAGGCAAGGAGTTGGCCCCATTCTGAAGGGCTCCAGGCGGCAGTTTGGGCCCCAGGAGGCAGATGATGTGAGGTCACCCCAGCAGCTCAGGCTCCGGCTGACAAGGATCTCGGTGCAGGCAGAGCTCCGGCAGGAGGCAGAAAGGATGAAACCTAAACTAAACCAGGCCTGGGTGCCTGGTGCCCTGCTCCAGGGGCACCCTGAAATCTCCAGTGGACTTGGCCATGAGGGGAGGGAGCACTCAGGGGACCCCCAGCTGCCTGGCTTGGGGAGGGGTGCGCTTCCCTGAGCTGGGCTAAGGAGGGAGGGAGGGGAGAGCACGGCAGTTGGCAGAGGAGGGTGACAGGTTGACTTTGGACAAGCCCAGCTGGAGGTGCTAGGACCTCCCAGGCAGAGCCAGATAATTGGGTCTGGGACTCTGGTCTGGTGACAGAGACCTGGTGGCCCGTTTGTGTGCATGTAGAATTGCAGCTGGAGGGGAGGCAATGTCCCAGAGGCCTGTGGAGAGAGATAGGCCCTGGGACAGACCTGGGAGGAGGTGACTGTGGAGTGGCAGAAGAGAATGGCAGCTGGCAGGAAGGAGAAAGGTGGGAGAGAGTTAGTCGTGGAGGGAACACATCAGAAGAGGAAGAGAGCCAGTGTCCATGGCTACACAGAGAAGGACAGGGAGTGCGAAGGGCTGCTGGTCAACAAGGACACCAAAGACTTGGGCCGGAGAAGTCCTGGCAGGCGGAGGAGGCAAAGCCCGGCTGTGAGGGCTTGGGACCCAGGAAAGACGCCCCAGCAGGTCACTTCCCCGATCACTGGTCCATGGGAATCAGTGTAGGTGTCAGGGTTGTTGAAAAGCCATCAATCAAGTGGCCATAAGGACAGGGCCCTGTGATGGGCTGGCCACCTTCTGGCAGGAGCGGGGTTGGTTAGAGGCCTGTGGGCAGGGCTCCCGGGTGGCTGCAGTGGCCCCGGAGCCCAGAAGGTGGCGCCCCTCACGCAGTATTCCACCTTCTGCCAGCACGCTGCTTCTCTTAATTTCAGGCGTTGGTCCTGCGAGGATGCTCTGGGCCGAGCGCTCGTATGTTGTATGCGTACGTCTCTCTATATATGTTCCGACGGAGCCCACATTTTAGAGGCAGGTAATGCCAGCAAGTGACTTATCCTGATAACTAGAGGGTCGATTAACCCTCTAAACTCCACAGCTTTATTTTCTGCAAGTTGCAGGGGATCCTTCCCAGAGTGTGTGACATACATGCCTCCCTCCAGCAGCAAAAGGTGCTGAACAGAACTTAGGTTCAAATACCAGGCCCACTAGGCCTACTAAGTGGGGAACCCCACTGTGCTCAAAGGATGGCTCTCACCGGCTGACCTCAGCTTGGCCCTCTGATGGGTTCCCTGGCTCCTAGCTCCTCCTCCTTTCTTTTTCTTTAAGCGGGGTTGCCTGCCCTTACCTGCCCTTGCCTTGTGAATCTCCAAGGGAGAGTGGCTGTTGAGGACACCGTGGAAGCTGGGAGGCCCGCATTCCCCACAGCCGTGCTGGGAGCCCTCACTCCTCCGGCCACGCCAGCGTCCCAGCACCGCCAAGCGTCTGCTCCTGGTGCCCTTGGCCAGGCGCCGAGAGCAAGGGGCCTCCTAACGCTGGTGTGGCCATGCTGCCCCTGCTGAAACCACCACGGCTTCCGCTGCTCCTGGCGTCAGACCCATGACTTTGTGGGGCTCCCCAGGCTCTGAGCCCTGCCCAGCCACACCTCATTGTCCTGTCTCCCCTCTTTTCCTGTCCCCAGACGGCATGAAGCTTTTTCCCACTTTAGGGTTTTAGCACCTGCTGCCCCTCTGCTGAGCTGCCGGGACATTTTGGCACACTCTCCACCCCAGCCCCAACATCTGCAGACAGAGGCAGGAGCCTGAACGGACCCCAGCCCATCCTTCTTCTCCTGCCTACACTCTATCCGGCACCGTGAGGGGACTGTGAGGACGCCCCCACTGCAGGTCCACACCGCATCCAGAAACTCCCCTCTCCTGGGCCACACCCAGAGCCAAGAGGTGTGTGCCCTGGCAGAATAGTCTGCTGTGGGGTGGATGGACCTGGAAGAGCCCCCCACAGGCCCTGGAAGTGAGCTGGGACATCTGAGCAGAGGACAGGCGACCCTGGGTACCCTGGTCCCCCCACCAGCATTCTGACATACTCCATAATGGAAAGAGCCAGCCTTGAACATCTGCCGAGCTCAGGGAGCACAGCTTCAGGGAAGTGCCACACACACGCGCTCTCTCTTGAATTTCCCTTTTCCTGCCCCATGCACGGCATCCCTCTGGACTCACTGATGGGGGTCAGGAGAGGGAGGAGAATAAAAGGGCAGGAAAGTGTTGGTTGTGCCCTCTAGGAGGGTCAGAGAGCATGGCTCTCCCTCTTGTGGCTGCTCTGTGAGTGCATTGGAGACATCACCCATGGGTGCTCTGCTCCTCGACCAGGGTAATAGTGATGCCGGAGTTCTTGTTCGCAGAGTCGAAGAATGAACTTTGCAAACACTTTAGGTGGAAGAGCAAGGCAGAGACTTTAACTTAGAGATAAAGTGAGAGGACAGAGCTCCTGGCTCATGAAGGGAGGGCACAAGAGAGTCCACAGTTGTGTGTTGTCTAGGGGATTTATAGGCGGTTGAGACAAAGGGCTAGGGATGCAGACCTGTCAGATGGTCCCAAAATTTTATACTTGAAGAGACTAAGGTTCTTATCAGTCTTCTGGGTTATTCTGCAAAGTTAACTTAACACAAGAAATTTACTGCTTTGATTTTTTCCCAGGATAGCAGCTTCCTGGACTGGGAGCATATCAAGACTGCCTGTCCTGCTCCCAAGGTGGACTGAGTTATTGTCTGTTTGTTAAAGAGTATGTTAAGAAACTTACTTTTTAACTTCTTGGGTTTTAAAATGCAATCTTACCTTTAAGATGGAGTTCTTCCTGTTTTTACTATGTTGTTTATGACTGGGCTTGCTTGCCATTATTAATTGCCTAGGTTGCAGATCATTTGATTTAGGGCTGAAGGAAGAAAATCAGCATCTGGGTAAAGTTAAAGAAAATAAGCTAGGCCTTTTAGCAGGCTAAAGTAAATCTTACAATAGCCTGATTTAACTGACACAGTGAAGACATGGGCTATGCTGAGGTGTATTCTTATCTGGGGGATATTCAAGCATTCCAGTCCAAGTTACTCCTGGGTTTTTAGTTCTAACTAATCTCACTGAAGAATGCCTATATTCCTAGTTTGACATTTTTACCGTAGAGAATTAATGTAAGTCTGACTTTGCTTAATGTTTAATAAGGAGTTTTGGTAGGGGTTTCTTTGCACATTGTTAAGTTGTTCTGGCTGTGATTAACCTGCTTTACTTTTTCCCGGAGGCCCTCACCCTACTCTGTCTAAACCCACAGTCCTTGTCTCAATAGCCTCAAGCCAACAGCGTAGGCGCAGGCGCCCATCTGCACAGGCGTGCATCTGCACAGGCGTCCTGCCGAGCGAGCTCTCCTCACCCTTGCTCTGCACTCAACTCCGGGCGCTTGGGCTATGTTGGCTCAGCAGCTCTCTTGAAGGTCCCCTCATTCTTGAGCGGGGAGTAAGGACCACTTTTTCCTTAAAGAAAAGTTCTTTTCAGTTTCATTTCTAGTCCCACACTGCGGCCTAGTGGTGGTGGCTAAAGGTCAAGGACCAATTTGTTGCCATCTTTCTACAAGTCTCTCCAGTTGAGGGGCGGAGGGTGGGGCACTCTTTTTGGAGCTTTGACCAAAATCTCTGGACTAGGAGATTTTGAAAAATCTTGTAACATGAAAAAAGGTTTTGCACCTGTAGGGATTCAATATGCACCTCAATGGCATAATGATTATTTTAAGCTAAGAACATCTGAACAAACAGCAGCTACAGAAAAAAAGCCTCCTTTTGCAGATGTAAGCAGGACCTCCTGGAAAATACAGCTGCCACACATCCCCTCTCTGGGAGGTTTACAGCCAGAGAGGAGACTGCCATTAGCACTGGGATGAGTAATTGCTTCAACAAACTTTAGCTGTTCTACCTTCCATTTGTTCTTTCAGAGGCTCCTTTCTCCCTCATCCCTTTCCTCTTATTAAGTGGGTTTATAAACCTCTTTCTTTGGATGTCTGGGGAGCCAGTTCATTGGAAGGGCCCCTGGTAAATAAACTTTCCCCTCTCTCCTGTTAATCTGTGTGTTGTTAGTTAATTCACAGGCCCCCAAGCACTGACCCTAAATCCGTGGAGGAAAATGCTTTCCTCCCAACAATTCTCCTCCAGACAAGTGTGTGGATGATGGTCTCAGACTTTCTATCTGGTACTGGACTGGCTCTTTCCGCTCTGCCAGTGTTACAGCAGAGCCCAGGGTTCCCTCACTCGCACCCTATCTCTCATATGTGCTGATTGGATTAGAAGAGATGGGGAAAGAGAGAACATGAGAGATTATACTGCTAAACTTGTTACTTATGTAAGTTATTGCACCTCCAGCTCAGCCACAATTGCCCAAAAGGCTGATGTGTGCCCGGGAGAGGCTGCACAAAAGGAAGGCTTTCCTGGTTTCAAAGCAATAATGGCCAGGAGAGGGCATGAATTATGCTTGTTTTCATTCCATCTGGTCTCATTGCATTTGAATGGAATATAAAATGTCACCAGGTGGTGATTACACAGTGACTGAACCCCACCCAAAAAAGTCAACAGCGTCTGTATTCGTCAGCTTGGGCTGCCATAACAAAATGCCACAGACTAGGGGCTTCAACAGCAGGAATTTATCTCTCACCGTTCTGGAGGCTGGGAGTCTGAGATCAGGGTGCCAGCTGACTTGTTCTTGGTGAACAAGCCTCTTCCTAACTTGCAGATGTCAGCCTTGCTGTGTCCTCACAGGGCTGCATGGTGGGGTTGGGGCAGGGGGAGCTCTGGTGTCTCTTCCTAGAGGACATTAATCCTATCAGTGGGGCCCATTCTTATGACCTCCTCGAAACCTCCTCACTCCCCAAAGGCCCCTTCTTCAAACACCATCACTCTGCGGCTCAGGACTTCCACAGAGGAATTTGGGGTGGGAGACACACAAACATTCCAGCCATACCAGTTTCTCTATAAACAAACACTAACCAGTTAAAAAGTATTATAATAAATACAACATGAAGTGTTTGTGTTAAAATATGTCACTTTTGTGTTTCCACCATCCTTTGGTGGATCTCACCAGCAGACATCAAACCTACCTTCCCCGTCCCCCTCCTGCTAGTGACTCAACCCACCCTCCCTGGGAATTACAGGCTCCAACAGGAGAATCCGGTGTAGAAAAAATTCTGTGTTTCAATAGGAACTGTGTGCCATCTGACACACTCCCTTCTGGGTCCTCAGCTCTGTTGTCTTTGAGCTATTTGCAACTCTTAGTATGTCCTAAGTGACTGATGCATAACTGCTGCCCTGTTTGGAAGTGATTCTGACTTCCTCCCACTGTGGAAAAATTACTTTTGTCCCTGTTTGCAATTCATCTCAACATTCCTTTATTCCACAAAAATGTGTGCCATTTTGAGTTGTCCTTTGAAATGGTTGTAACCTTGGCCTGGTTTTCTCAGATTTTATGAGTCAAATACATTCTTCCACATGTGTTCCATTCATTTTTCCATCTGTAAGAGAGTCTTGGAAAGGTAAGATCCTATCTTTCCCTGAAAATTATCTTAACACAGGGGAGCCTTTGGGAGAAGGGGCAGGGCTCAGCTTCCAGAGAACAGGGGGAGTTTCCAGGCCCTGTGGCTTCACCGTTCTGGGCCATGGCCACCCATCTTCCCCACATGTGGGGTGGTTCTCAACTCCTTTTTTTCTAGCACCCCTATATCCAACCCTGTGGCAGGCTGAACAATGGCCCTTGGAAGATGTCCACGTCCTCACCTCTAAAACCTGTGAGTAAAACAGGATCTTTGCAGATATGAGTAAATTAAGGATTTTGAGAAGGGGAGGCTATCTTGGATTAGTTAATTGGGCCCAATATAATCTCAAGGAAGCCGGTGGGGCAGAGGTCAGGAAAGGGGCTGTGAAGGTGGGAGCAGCAGCTGAAGGTGGAGGGAGAGCCGGGAGTCAGCAGACCCAGTGGCCTGTCCGGGAAAGGTGGAAGCTGGAAAAGACAAGGGGACAGTGCCCCAAAGGAACCAGCCAGGACCACACTCTGTAAGACTCCTCAGACTCCTGAGCTTCAGAACTTTAAGGGAATAAATTTGTGCTGTTTTAAATTTGGAGTAATTTGCAGCAGCAGCAGAGGAAACTAGTGCAAACACCACCACGAATTATGTTGGCTGTACCTTTGGAGTGTAGCCAAGGATCTTCCCAGCTCTGCCGCAACTTCCTGGGCCCAGCCAGCTCCTTCCCTGCCTGGGTTGCTGGGGCCTGCTCATGGGTCTCCCGGGCTGCCCTGGGCCTCCAGCGTCTCCTGTCCATGGACGCTGCCAAGGAGGTCCCTGGCTTTCAACCCTAGCATGGTCCCTCCAGGTGCTGCCGTGGCTCCAGAGCAGCACGCGGGTGCCCAACCTTCACATTTCCACTTGGTGCAGGGGCATGCCCTGCCTCCCCGTCCACCACCAGAGACAGTGGTGACAGGTGCCCTGCAGGGGCTCGTCCAGACTTAATTTACAGCCAGCAATAGGGTTTCATCACCAGCTCGCAGACAGGCAGCCCCCAAATCCCAAGTCAGGAGTTCACTTTCTGACAGCTCCCGGTCTCAGCTGTCACCTTGGGCCAGGGTCCGGGGACTGACTGAGTCCTATACCATGCCTGTGTTTGTTGTTGTCTCCAGATACCGCTGGAAATCCACTTCAATCCTGTCACTGCCACCAAATCTGTTACAGAATAAAAACCCAACTGAGGATGTCTGGAGATCTAATTGGCTGTATTCACTGACCAGGAATGAGGCAGCATCCCATCTACAAACAGGTGCTCTGAGGCGCTGCACAAAACAGGAGACTTTTGTAAGTGGGGGTGGGGTGAGGAGGTCATTAGCCAGAAAAAGGATTATTTCAGGCCAGGTCACCTTCTCTTCGGGTAGGGCAGGGGTCTTACCAGGCAAGTCACCTCATCAGTGCTGGCCAAGAAATTCCAGACTGATTGGTTCAAAATGCCACTCCTGGGAGAGGTTGGGAAAGCAAGTAAGCCCTGGTTTGCTGTCTTGGGGGCAAGTGACACCACCTTGGGTCTGTTCTTCCTTCCTTCCTCCCTCCTTTCCTTCCTTTAACAATTGTACAAGATAAATGCATAAGGTAAAGACATTCTAATCTAAGGAAAGGTGTACAACTAAGAGTGAATGTGAGTAAATGTGTACCCTAGAATTTCCCTGCATTGCTCTGCTCAGCTGGACTATTTCTTGCTCTTTTCTTTCTCTGTTTATTCCCTTATTTTGTTGGAATAGACCCTAAGTACAATGACACCAGTGTTTATTCCATCTTCAAGCTGTGTTGCTAGTTGAGTGGGTCTTGAATTACAGGCCTTGAAAGGCTTGGCTCTTGTCCTCAGGCTCCAGGGCTGCTGCTGACATTCTGACGCTCCTTCCTCTGCAGGTAACAACGCTCTCCTGCCCCTACCCTGTATACTGTCCTGCCAGGAGCCTTTAAGATTGCCCCTTAATTCCTGGCCTGAAGCCGGACCATGAAGTGTGTCCCTGTGAGTCTCTTTCCTTTCAGTCAGTTCAGCACCTGGGGGTCTTTCCTTCTGGAGACTTGGCTTCAGGCACCTACAGGAATCGACCCAGACCTTCATTTCAAATGTAAGTGGGCAGCCACTGAGCACCAGACATTTCCGCAAAATGGACAGCAAAACTGAGAAGGACCAAGACGAGCAACAGAAGAAAACAGATCATTCAGGGAACCGAAAGTTCCAAAGTGCTGAGGGCCCCTCTGGGTCCATGGCCTCTGTAACCCCGGTGGCCAGGGGCTGCTCATGATTGTCCTTTCCTCACCCCCTCACCCCTCCCGCCCCAGGCAGTGGTTTGATATCTGTCCCTCTCTTTTCCGACCTCCAGTGTGCCTCCCCAGTCCTCACCCTTAGCATTCCCTTGGTTTCCCTGAGAACTGGAGACTCCGAGGGGGGTTCTCATGAGCTCCCACCCAGGCCCGCCACTTTCCCGAGGCTGCCATGAGCCCTGCTCCCTGACTGTCTTCATGAGTTGCCGCCCTGCTCAGTGAGCCCAGCTGCCCCTGAGCCGAGGTTGCCCCCCTCTCCATCTTAGGGACGTAGCTCACCCTCTTCCCACTGCATGCCAGCATGCAAACGTGATTTTTTACATCTTGAATAACAACAAACAATACTCTGCTGCCCCCTCCAGACACTGCCTTTTTCTTCCTCCCTTTGCAGGTAACTTGAAACCCTTGTCTATACTCATTGCCCCTGATTCTTCATCTCCTATTATCTCAACCAGGATTTTGCCCCCACCATTCTACAAAACAACCATGACAAGATCAGTCATGACTCCTTGTAACTAAACCCAAGGGCCAGTTCTCAGGCCTTGTGGACACAGGTCACCACCTGCTTTCTGGGACACCATCCTCACTGCTTCCAGCCTCTGCAGTCCCCTCCTCCCTCTCCTTGCTGGCTGGCCCTCAACTGCCCACCCTCCTAACACTGCAATCTCTGGCCTCATCCCTGAAACTCCCCTCTCTGTTTATACTCTTCTTGGGCTAAGCCCATCTACACACAGTTGCTGCAGCCCTGAATTTACTCCTGAACTTGAGACGTGTGTATTTAACTTTACTTTTGGATGTCAGGGGACACCTGCTAGCGATCCAACACAGCACTCCCAACCTCCAAATGGCCCCCCGTGGCCAGGATGACTCTTTTGAAAAGCAAATGTTATCTCCTCATTTCTCTGCTGGAAACCAGTCAGGGGCTCCACCTGCCACCCTGAGAGAAAGCCGTTGCTCTTAGTGGCCTCCAGGACGGCAGGCTTGTAGGTCAAGAGGGAGAGCTCATTTTGAGCGGGCCAATACTGAGGTTCCTGAGGAATGTCCCCTTGGCTGTGTCCAGAACAAAAAGGAGAACCAAGAGCATATTCTGTTTATAGAACAAGAACAGATGCTTACAGAAAAAGTTGCAAGAAAGAATTCTAGGAAACTAGAAATATTTGTTAACTTGAAAAGAATCAACAGTTGAACAGAAAGGTGAAATTACAGAATCTGTCTACCTGGGGATGCCAATGTAAATAAGTCGTATACATATAATCTGCTTTTATATTATTTTAAATACAAAATGTAAAAATAAATACACATATTTGCAACACAATGCCCCAAACTCCCCAAATCTAAAGTGTGCCTCTTCCCAAACTGAAGACATTCTTCTACCCAATCAGAAAGTCAGCACTAAGTGTTGGTGTCACACCGACGTCACATTGCACCAGTTCTCCCAGCGATCACACTTGGCACTGATGAATCGCATCGCTTTCGTCTCCTTCAGTCTGGAGCAGTTCTTAGTCTCTCCCTGTCTTTACAACCTTAGAAGTGTGGGAGTCCAGGTCTTACGTTCTGCAGGATGTGGCTCAGCCTGGGTTCCCCAGGAGGTGACTCGCCTTGCATTCTTGGGGGGATTATGCAGGAGTGATGTTATTCTTCTCCCACTGTGTTGTGCTGGGAGGCTCATGGGGTGTGCTGTTAATCTGGATCACTTGGTCAGCTTGGCGGCTGCCAGGTTTCTCCACATTAAGACATCATTGTCTTCTTTGTAACTGAAATGTTTTAGTGGGAAGATATGCTCACACTACACCAGTTTCCCGCACTTCATCACAGCTCCATCCATTTGACTTCATATCTGTTGATGACCCTTGCCTCAATCAACCACCATGGTGGTTGGTGATTGCCAAAGAGCCCTTGTCTGTTACCGCCATTCCTACTGCACTTACTGGTTGTCTGTCTGCTGTAAGGAACAGATTCCCTTTTCCTTTACTTGTTTATATCAGTGTAGGCTCGTGGGTTCCTATTTAATTAAGTGGATATAACCATTTATCATCACTGTTTTTATATCCAATCATCCCACATTTGGCCAGCAAGAGAGCCTTGTCAAAATTGGCTCCTGTGTCCTTTAGATTTGTCCCCATAATTTTTTCTTTTTAGCAATTCTTTACTTACTGGCACAAGAAAATGTTCTAAGCCCCTCTGGTGCATTCTCTGCCTCAGCCTTGGAATCGATTATTTCTCCAAGGAGTCCTGGAGTGAAGAATATTTGGAAACTAAAATCTGGGTACTTGGTTGCTTCTGAAATGTCATCAATTGTAGGCCTTCTCAACATCCAGAGGTGGCATATATATGAATACGTATACACAGAAATGTGTGTGCACACCTTACATACAACTATAGCTAGTTCTATATCTATGTATTTATTTTTTAAAAGCCCATGAGTTCACGTTGGTGCCTCCAATTCCAATTGAATAAGACCAGATGGATATTTTTAACCTTTCTCTTTTCCTAATATGCAAATCCCTTCTCTGTCAGCAAGAAAACGGTCTCTCATTATCTTCAATATGGTTATTTGTGTGCTCAGTCTCTGTGTGACTCATTTCCCTGCCTCAGCTCCCAAACCCCTCTGCCTCCAGTTTTGTGGTTACTATGCTGCCAACAGAAGAGGAAAGAAGTGGAGAATGGAGGGGAAGAGGGGAGAAAACCGACTTGTACAGGAAGGAGGGATGGAGAGAAGTACATATTTAAAGTTCTCTTTCTTAGAATTATTTATTAATTCTTCTGGAACTTTTTTCTTTACTAGATTCTCTCTCAGACCCTCCAAGCCTAGCCACCAGGTGTATTTGCTGAAGAGCTTCCCTGTCCTCCACTTTAGGACAGTTTGGCTGTGGTTTGTGCAAACACACACAGCTCAAGGATGGAGGGCAGCTCATGCCTTGCACTGGCACCAGAACAGGAAGGCGAGGCACGGAGGACACTCTCCATCTCTCCAGAGCCAAGTGGTTTCTCTTCTTTCTCGGGCCACAGGACCTGCTCATTGCTCCTCTCTGCCTCTTCTGTCTTCTAAGCACATGGGCACCACGACCAGCAGCCTCCGTCTGTCTGTCTCTCCAATGCCCAAATTTTGAGAGGGATAATCTGCTTGTCTTAGTCCAGACTACAGATTGGTTCATCTTGGGTCTGGGGTCTATGTAAGTCTGGGGAGAGGAAATCCCAGGGCAAAATACCTCTAAAAACCGAAATCAGTCAAAGGGAGAAATAAAATTTTAAATCCATTTATTGCTTACAAACTGCAGTCCAGGCCCTTCTCTCTTTCCTGCTCCAGCAGAAGCAAAAACCGGCCCTCCCCTCACTTCTCAGGTACAGATAAGGTCTCCTTGCCCAGGTAATTTCCCATTGATATGGAGATGAACTTCTCTCCATCCCTGAAGAATGATGCAAGTGCACTAAAGCCATACTTCTCTTCACCTCTGAACAGCTATTGATATGCAGATGTACTAAGGCCAGGGGAGATATTCTGGAAGAATTACAGTTTTACCTACAGTCTCACTCTGGGCCAGTCACCTGTGGTCCAGGCGCAGAGCCAAGTTGGAACAGTTCCTGGGGAGAAGCCTACAGGGGTGTGGATAAGATGAAGCAGTGTCTTTCTCTAAGAAGGATGAGTTGCATGGAGGACCCTGAACACACCTGCTACATCCTGTAGTAAGACACAGTAAGCTCTCATAGGGCAGGTTTTGTTTGTTTTATCAACTTGCAGGTTTTAAGAAGTGAGGACATTTGTTAAAGGTTCTGTGAATCCAAAAATTAAGGATCAGTTTAGGTTCATGGTGATTATGGGGAAAGGTTGATATAAGTCCAGCACTTCGATGTCTCAGATGAGTAAACTGAGGGTCTGAGAGTACAAAGGACCTGTCTCCATCTACATGGCCTGTCCGAGGCAGAGCTGGGATTAGAACCAGGGCTGGCACTAGGGCGGGGCGAGCGAAGTGCCTGGGGTGCACGGTGGAGGAGGCTTTTGCTCTCAACTCCCTTGCTTCACCCTGAGGCTTGGCCCAGATTAGAACTCCAGGGTCCTGCTCACCAGGAGCCTTGCTGAGCTTAGAGGCTTGAGGTAAGGGGACTTCGGGGAGTTTCCCTGTATGTTCCCTTCTGGGAGAAGCTGCCTGAGGAGGGCCGGGTGGTTTCCCCAGGTGAGGGATCTGGTAGCTCGGGATGGTTGCTCACTGAGGAAGCCTGAGTTATCCCATGGGCCCAGAGCCCTGAGGGCCCCCGAGGCTGCGCACAGAGTTCCCACCCTGGGTTGTCTTTAGCTCGTGGCTGAGGGCTGCAGCATTTCTGAGGCCTGTGATGGACACTTCCCCTTTCCCCTCTCACAAAAATAGGCCTTCAGTCCAGCCAGTCTTGTAGGATCTTTTCTTGCAGAAACGAGACATGTAGGGTTTGGCTTTCTCTAGTCTCCTGTCTGGTGTCTGCTTCCTTCATCCAGAACTGCTTACTAAGAATTTTGCCTCAGGGGTTTTTTAGGAAAGTTAGTGTTAGGCAGGAAAACAGACATGAGTGGGGTGGAGAGAGGATTAAGGGCAGTAAAGCCCACTACGAGGGACTCAAAATGTTAACCAGTTATAACTAGAAACCCAGAGAAGACTCAGAGTTAATGAATTAGTCAGGTAAAGCTCAAAAGGCCAGGAGCAACTTGGCCCGGAATGTTTGAAGATTCCCCAGATAAGAAAAAGTATCTGAGCACAGCCCATGTGTTCATTGTGTCGATTAGATCATGTCACTGTAAGATTTACTTTGGCCTGCTAAACGGCCCAGCTATAAACAGCATAATAAAGACAGGAAAAATTCCACCTTAAAGCTACAACTGTGTTTTAAAACCCAAGAAGTTAAGAAGTAAGGTTCTTAAGAGGCCCTTTAGCAAGCAGACAGTAACTCAGCCCACCTTGGCGGCAGGGCAGGCAGTCTTGATTGATAGGCTTCCAGACCAGGAAGCTGCTATCCCGGGAGGGAATCAGAGCAATAAATTTCTTATGTTAATTTTACAAATCTACCTGGAAGACTGATAAGAAGAGACTTAATGTCTCATCAAGGATGAACGTTCTAGGACCACTTAACAAATCCATACCCCTAGCCCTTTGTCACACTCCTGAAAATCCTCAACCACCTATAAAACCCCACTAAACCTTTCAGGGCTCACCCCTCTCTGAGGTTGCCTGCACTTTCTAAGGTGCGTAGCCTTAAACTTTCTCTCCTCAATGTTTCAGGGTGCCTCTCCTCCCTGAGGTCATCTGCACATTTTCTCTAAGTAACTTTAAATAAAACACTGACTTTGCTTCACTACTGTGTCTCTGCCCTTCAATTCTTTGTTGCAGTGGGGGCAAGAACCAAGGAAAATACACAACACCCCCCTAACAGTTAGTGCTGGCTTTGTTGTTTTTTGAGGCATAACATCAGGTGGTCATTGAGACCAAGAAGAAAAAGAAGGGGGAAAAAAAGAAAAACACACTAAGCTACTTTGCCCCCCTCCCTCTGCCTCCATCTGGCCCAAGGCACAGTCCTTTCTCGTGTGGACCTCTGCTCCACTGTCACCCTGATTTAGTGTGTTCTCAAGAAGGCAGCCAGAAGGGTTTGTTAAAGTACAGATCAGGAAGAAAATGACATAAAAGGCATTCAGGCTGGAAAGGAAGGTGTAAAACTGTGTTTGTGGATGACATTGGTGGAGGGCAGAGACGGGAGACAAGCATCATGATTAGTTTTCCAAACAAGTTGAGATATAAACAGCACAGTAAGAACAGGAGAGATTCCGTCTTAAAAACCAGCCTAAGGTTCCATTTTAAAAACCAGGAAGTTAGGGAGTAAGATTCCGAACAAGTTCTATGGTAAACAGACAATAACTCAACCCACCTTAAAACAAGGCAAACAGTCTTAACTGATGTATTTCCAGAGAGAAGCCACTATTCCGGGGAAGAACTGGGTCAATAAATTTCTTGTGTTAAGTTTATTTTGCAGAACTAGCTGGGGGACTGATAATAGAGGAGAGGAGGCATCGTGTCTCTCACCAGAGAAAACCATCTTGAGACCACCTGACAAGTTTATACCCCCTGGCCCTTTGAAAAATCCTTAAAACACAGAAACCACAACCTTTCAGGGCACCTCCTCTCTGAGGATGCTTGCACTTTTCTCTCAGTGAGTAATTTTAAAAGAAGCTTTCTCATTGCTCAGCTTGTGTTTTGTCTCTGCTCCTTTCCAGCGGCAAGCATCCTTGTTTCTTTGCTTTTTCATTCTGTTTCTAAGTCTTCACTTAGTCTCTGCTTTACTCCTGATAAATAGGGAGGGGCTGCTGAGAGCTCAGACTTGGGCCTGTGCGTTCCCGTTGCCTGGGTGACCTGGATGGAGCTGTAGCTGCAGGAGGCTGCCTGAAAATCTCCCTTCTTTGGGAAGTTCTCATAACATTATCTCACTCCATCCCATGCTCCATGGCTCCCCAAATCCTGGGGTGGTAGGGGCTAGCTCCGTAGCCCGCGAGAGAGACTTTCCTATGCTGAGAAGGTCAGCGAGCCCCCGCTCCATCCCTCTGCCCTTTCCTGCCCTCTGCTGCCAGCAAAGCTGCCGCCATTCATTACTACTCTCATGCTAATGAATCCCTTCTTTGTCTACACTCTTCAGACCTGCTGGAGAATTCTTTCTTGTTCAGAGTCAAGAACTCTCCCCCAGCCAGGCTGAGGTTTCACCTGGTGCTTAGGGAGGGACCTCCCAGATGCAGCTGCCCAGCAACAACGTGATCTTGTGGATAGAAAATCCTAAGGAACACACAAAAAAACCATGAGGATTAACTAATAAGTTCACCAGGGTCACAGGATAAAAGATAAATATATAAAAGTTAATTGCAATTCTACACATTTTAATAAACAATCCAAAAGTGAAATTAAGACAACAAAGTCACTTATAATAACCTCAACAAGAATAAAACACTTGGGAATAAATTTAACAAAGGCAGTGCAAAACGTATTCTGAAAACAACAAAATGTAGTTGCAAGAAATTAAAAGGGATCCACATAATGAAAAAAACATCTCATGTTCATTGTTCAGAAGACTGAACTATGGATATTGTTGTTAAGATAGCAATACTCTCCAAATTGATCAACAGATATAATACAATCTCTATTAGAATCCCAAATGGATTCTTTGTAGAAACTGACTGGCTAATCCTAAAATTCATATGAAAACTCAAGGGGCCCAGAATAGCCAAAACAATCTTGAAAAAGAAGAAAGTGGGGGACTCATACTTTCCAATTTCAAATCTTACTACAAAGGAACAATAATCAAGACAATGTGGTACTGGCATCAGGATAGACATACAGATCAATGGAACAGAATTGAGAATTCAGAAATAAATCCACATAAATCCAGGTTAATTGATTTTTGACATGGGTGATTTCAATGGGGGAAAAATAGTCTTTTCGATAAAGGGTGTTTGGACAACTGGAAAGCTGCATGTAAAAGTAGGAAGCTTGGACCCCCTACCTTACACCATGTATAAAAATTAAATCAGAATGGATAAAGAACATAAATATAAAAAGAAAACATAGGTGTAAATCTTCATGACTTTGGATCTGACAATGGATTCTTTGCTATGATACCAAGAGCATAAACAACCACAACAAGAAAGATAGATAAATTGAACTTCATCAAAATCCAAAACTTTTGTACTTCAAACTATACTAGGAAGAAAGTGAAAAGACAGCCCACAGAATGGGAGAAAATATTTGCAAATCTAGGCTGTATAAAGAATGCTTACAACGCAGTAACAATAAGACAACCTAATTAAAAAATAGGCAAAGGAGCTGCACAGATATTTCTTCAAAGATATAGAGATGGCCATTATGCACATGAAAATACTCTCAACATCGGTCATTAGGGAAATGCAAATCAAAACCACAGGGTGATAACACTTCATACCACAGTGACGACTAGAACAAAAAAATAAGGTAAGTGTTAGCAAGAATGTGGGAAGGGGCCCTTGCACATTGCTCGCGGGTGTGTAAATGGTGTAGCCACTTCAGAAAACAGTCTGGCAATTTGGGAAGTTGGGGCCATTATTTCTTCCGGCACTTTTTCAGGCCTGCCCTCTTCTTTCCTTCCTAGGCTTTGTTAACATGAAGGTGTCTTATTATCATCTTGCACATCCCTGAGACTATTTCTTTTCAATCT